TCGCGACGGCCTAGTCCCTCCCCCCCCTCCCCCCCTCCCCCCTCCCCCCCCCACACACATCGATCGTACTCCACCCCTTTCCTCCACCCCCTTGCCCTTTGGCGACATTACCAAGGGAAGATCCTCTCCTAATCACCCCCCATCGCCCCTGTCCCCAACAAAAACCCCATCCCCTCCCCCTCCCCCTCCCCCCCCCGTCCTCCCCAAATGCCAACCAAGGTGACACCCCGCGCATTGCCACCACCACTACCCAACTCCCCCCCCCCTCCCCCCTTCCCACACACATACACCATGGACGCGCCCTGGCCAACAGACCCACCCCGCATGCCAGCATCTCCCTCCTCCCTCCTCCATGCCCGTCCTCCACCTCAGGCAAGCGCTGTACAGGCCGAGTCTCGTCGCTCACCACCGGTACCGCTACCGCTACCGCTACCGTCGCGGACAGAGGGAGGTCACGGCCACGGGAGGAAGAAGCAGACAGACCTGGCAGAGTCACTGCTGATGGAAGCCATGGGGGCATCATCTTCGTCTCATGCTCCGCTCAATGCTCTTTATACCGAGAGAAAGGCGGCTGTTGAGCAGTGGCTCGCTCAGCTGGCTCAGGCAAAGGCTCTGGCTGGCCAGCTCCTCGCCCGTGCTCGGGTCCCGCTTGATGCCCTCGCAGCCTCGCAGTCGGCTCTCAAGGCCAGGTTTGCTGATGAGAAGCGCAGGCTTGCTGCCGCTGCCGATGCACACTATGCTGCTCTCGAGCGCAAGGTCGCAGACAAGGCCGCTGCTGCCGCTGCTCCGTTTGAGGACGCCGCCGCCGCCCTCGAGGCACGCACCAACGACGTCGCTGCTACCATTGCCATGCTCACCTCGCGGCTGGACGCCTACTCGCCATCGCGGCTCATCGAAGAGTTCAAGCTCCTCGAAGCATCGGCCATGCACGCTCTGGCTGCTGCCGCACGCGAAGTCTCCATCCCGGACGTCGAGCTTGCCGACCTCGAGCTCCTCTCCTCCTTCTCCTACGATCCGCTCTTTCTTGCCACAGACACTGAGTTGGCCGCAATTGCCTCTGCCGGCGCGTCTGATGCTGCCCGTGCTGCCCGTGCCTCGCGGCGCTCCGCCCTTGCCACGGCACTCAACCCTTGCGCCCGCCACGACATCGCGCCCGACGACGCTGCTCCGTCGCCGCCGCCCTCCCCTACACCTGCTGCTTCCGCTTCCGCTCCACCGTCGCCGACCTCACCTTCAGCCACCCAGCCGCTTCTCTCGGCCTTTTCGCCCGACAAGGTTGCCGACGAGCGCGACGCCATCATCAACCAGCTTCTGACCTCGTTCCAGGCCCTTGTCGACCGTGGCAACGATGTGAGCGCTCTCCTCGGCATCCCACCGCCGGCTTCATCTGGCCCGGCTCATGCTCCGCGACTGCCGCGGGCTGAGCCGCTGGTCTCACCGCTCTCGGCCAGCGCCCGCGACACCGACTGGGAGTGGGACCTCCTCGGCGACGACGAGCTCGAGTCGCACCCGCTTCCGCCATCGCATCCGTCTACCCCGCCCTCACTCGCTCCACCCGATCTCTTCGAGGACCACTACCTCACTCCGTCGCGAGCACGGCCAACGCTGCCGATGCCACCGCCGACCTCTCACTCGCTTCAGCCTCAACCGCGCTCAACTCCTCGGCCGCCCGGCTCATCCACCCGCCGCCCGGCTCCGACTCGCGGCTCTTTGCCTCATTCTTGCTCCCAGATCCTGATGACGACGAGCTCCAATCTGCCGCCCGCAACGTCCGCTCTGTTCCGGCGTCCGCACCGGTCCCGCCCAATCATTTCCGCTCCTCGCATCGCGCCTCCACCCGCCCGCCGCGTCCGCAACGACCTGCAGCCCCTGCTCGAAGCCCTGTCCGAGCCCCCGAGCCCGAGCCCGAGGTCGAGCCCAAGCCCGAGCCCTCCGACTGGCCATCCATGATGTTTGGCGCCCAGTCCTCGCTCTTTGCCGCCTCTGCCTCCTCCCTCGCCTCCTCGGGCCTGTGGTAGGCACGGGCAAACAGACCTGTTGCAAGCCGCATCTCCACTTACCCCCCCCCCCCCCTCCGTATTGCTCCACATCTAACCCCCACCTCCAATAACCATCCCCTCACCCCCCCCGTCCCTCATCTTGATCATCCATGCCGTTTGCCCTTGCTCCCCAATCATCCCCCCCCCCCCCCCCCCCCGT